AATTGCTAAGGATGATGTTAACTTGCAATCCTCCTGCCTCAATCTTCAAAGCTGCTAGGATTACAATTATGTGCCCCTGTGCCCAACCTTACTAACTTTGTATTCTTTTTTTTTTTTTTTTTTGTGAAGGTGGGCTGTACTGGGAATTGAACTCAGGGGCACTTGACCACTGAGTCACATCCCCAGCCTATTTTGTATTTGTATTTATTTTATTTAGAGACAGGGTCTCACTGAGTTGCTCAGTGCCTCACCATTGCTGAGACTGGCTTTGAATTTGCCATCCTCATGCCTCAGCCTCCTGAGCCACTGGGATTACAGGYATGTACCTCTGCCCCTGGCACCTACTAGATTTTTAATAGCTGTCTGATAAATGCTTTTAGAAGACAAGAGCCATTTAAAAAAGTGAATATAGTTAGGGGAAAAAAAGAAGATAATGAATAAGTAACTAAAAAATAAACAGAGAGACCTTTATGGACATAGAAGGCTATTTTGGAGGCTACTTTCATATTGAGTAGTCTGAGAATGATTCTATTAGCAGGCTCACCTAATTTCTATTGAGATTTCTTTAGGACAAGCAATTAAAGTTTGATAATAGGATCCTATAGTAAGTAAAACTTACAAATATAAAAAAGAAATATAAAACTAAAGCTAATGTTACATTATTATATTGATATTTATAAAGTTATTATTTCTCCCACACAAATATAAATTTAAGAACTTCACTTTAAGATCCTTTTTAATATTCACAYCATATTATTATAATATCATAAAACCATCCTAAGATTTTCATAAAAATCAAAATAATCATGTTATTATGGATTTTTTCTTTACTATTCATAAGCAGAAAAAATAAAGAAAATGAAGTTGTGATAGGTACCATACTGTGAAGTATTCCAGAGGGTATTCTGAAGTTTGTTCTACAATTAAAAGTTAAGAGAAAAATAGAAATTTGCTACAAAATCTTTTCACAACATGGAAAGGTATTGTTCAAGTCTTCTGTAGCACCGAAGAGCTACCTGTGTCCTGGAAGAATGTTTTAACTTTKGGTCATTTTAAAGCAGTAACAATAGTCTTCATTCTCTTTGGGGCTTCAAGAAGGGCTGAACTTAAGTGTACTGGCACCACGGAGCCTACATTTGTGACCTCTTCTCTCTGTTCTCTACATGGATCATTTCATTCAATCCATTGGTCTTTTATATTTCCTTCAAAATGCCCTGGCAGTTCCTCTGTCAGAGCAGAGCTTTCACCCTCTGGAATCTTCATCCCACTAATCTTCACATGGCTGTCGCCTTTTGACTATTTTTGTCAATGACTAGTTCTCATCATTACTATTAAACTGACTCACTTTAAACAGCTAGAGTTTGCTGTGTGAAACGCCAAATCCCTTTTTTTTTCCTGTGGTGAAATTGAGAAAGTGTTTTGATATCATAGACAAGCCTGGAGGCAAGTGTTGTCATTCCTTAACCCTGTTCTGCTTATTMAGGTCCTAACCTTTTACCTTCCAAGGTGATGTTCGCCTCTGACCCACAGGTTGGAGTAAGGGGACAAGATTGGTGGTTGCATGTGCCTCAAAATGCCCTGAATGATTGCCACCCTCTTGKGTCTACAGGCCCCCTATCACCTAGCTATTTGAAGTGACTGATGCTGAAATTACTTCTAAATTATACTTTTCTTTTATCTGTTCACATTCTAGTGATGATACTTTCCAGAATTCTGAGGGTTTTTTTGTTGTTGGTGGTGGTGATGGTGGTGGTTTTTTGTTTTTTGTGTTTTTTTGTTTTGTTTTGTTTTTGTTTTAAGAAGCCTCAATACTGAATGTAGAAATAGGGAACTAAAAAAATGGCCCTTTTTCACTATGAAGATCACAAAGGGACTTTACAGGAGCTGTCTTAGATAGTGTATGAGATCACTTTGACTTCTTCCTCTAACCCAGTTGAAAACTGGTTTTCAAACATTATTTCTCTCTATTCACTCCTCTGCTTTCCTCTTTACCCTTTTCTAAAATTAGTCCTTGCTCAATTTGCTTTAAATTTTTCTGTTTTCAGATAAGTTTAAGTGTACAAACCTTTGTCTCTAAAATGTACCTTTACAGTGCAGGCAAAGCAATGTTTATTGCATTAAAATTATGTTCTGCCCCTTTTTCAATGAAATTTCCTCAAATTTCATTGTTAAGAAAGGCAAGTCATTCAGGAATCAACATCTCCCATGTTTTAATATGTTAAATTTTAAAGTTTTACTAGAGATTATGAATATGAAATTACAAGGTGCATCCAGATCACACTGCCTATTTCCTTACCAAAGGGCCTTATAAAGGTATAAATTTGCAAAACCAGGAAAAGAATATAAACCCTTGGTCTATGTATTAATTGGGAAAATGATTTCTGAAAATAGCTTTGGGGAGATGTGCCTGTCACTTTTATTTATGTGTGTGTGTGTGTGTGTGTGTGTGTGTGTGTATCTGCTCATTTGTGTATTGATCTGAGAGCTTAGAACCTTCCCAATTGCTGGTCCCAGGAGATCAGAAACATCTAGGCAGAAACAGTCAATGCCCGACCAAAAAAAAAACATTGAGGGTTGCTGGTGATATCAACCTACATTAACAATGTTTCTATGTTGCTAGGATTTCTCAGCGTAAGAGATTCATGGTCTGCCAAAGCAGATATAGGAGTTGTTATAGGATCCAGGTCCCAAAGCATCATGATGAAGTCCACACCATTCTAAAGGCCTAAGGAGGAGTCACCAGGAATCAAAAGGAATAGATATTTTCATTCTACATCAAGGAAACTACAATCGAAATGCCAAGGGGGATATTTTGAAAAGACTTGCAAAAAATCCCAAAAGAGAAAGAAAAAAAAAAAAGAATTTTAACATCTGACACATCCATAGACAAGTGAGTCAGCTTATTAAAATACCAAGACACGGAAGACTTTTCTCCTTCCTGAATAATTATCCCTTCTTTGAACAAACTTCAGACTTCCCTATTCAGTTTTCCTATTTAATGTTCTCAGATCTCAACTGAAGGTAGAGAGTGAAGGAACTTTTAAAACTTTAAAAATAACATACATTGGACATTTTAACTTATTTTTTAAATTTTTTATGTCTTTTTATTTTTAAAGGACATAATAATTCTRTGGCATTACATGTGGTACAAAGTGATACTTCAATATATGTAATGATCAGAACATTGCAACATATACATGTAACACTTAAACATTCATTATTCCTTTGCTCTGGGATCATTAAAAATCCTTTTAGCTATTCTGAAGTAGGCAGTTAGTTGTTGTAAACCATAGGTACCCTATTGTGCTGTTCAGGACAGTGGATGGATAAAAGATGGTTCACAGATGCAGGGATACATTTGGATTGGATTTAAATTTCTGTTAGAGGCCTTATTCAACACCTATGGAAATTGGGGCTCTATGCTATCTAACAGCAATGAGAAAATTCATGAAACTTTATGAATTTTCATTCAGACACTGACATAAATTCTTTCATATGATGTTGTTTAATGCATCAGAGAGACACAAGAAATAAATTTTTATTTTGTATTCTGTCCTGCTTTTRTAAAATGTAGTTACATTTAAATGTAACAGTCACAGGACGAGATTCAGTTGTTTAAAAACAGAATTGGAAGACTAAAATTATACAAATTATGAATATTCATCTAGAAAGGGTATAAAATAATTAGCCACTTTTAAGTATGGGACTGAGAACTCTGACAGATATCCTCTTTGGGATGTCAAAATCTTCTCTRTCACCACTTGCCTATGTCAGAGTTATTGGGAATCTTTGTGGAACACAATGAATTTTCATGTTCAGTTGACAGAAGAGCCCATATGCATGCAAAGTATATCATGTTCTTTGTTCATTAGCCGAAGTCACTTACAGTGGTGCTTCTGGGTACCACTACGGTTGGGCTCTTATGCTCAGGTACAGAAATAAGATAACAATATTTCATTGTGAGATTATAATGTGGAGTGCATTACACACACAGATTAGGTAATCTTCAAAATGAAAAAAAAAAGCTTCAAAACGAAAAGTGTTTAAAACACTTTTATATAAAGCTAAAAGTTCAAAGGTGAGAAACATTAGACTGGACCTTTATTCTAAGAATATCTGAATTTAAAAATTTAAGGACTTATTAAGAAAGAGGAAAAAAATATGTGTCTTTACTCATATCTGGCACCTAAAATAAGCACAACAGCTGAGAAGCTGAGGTACTCAAGGTCAATGAAATATGTATATCCTGAAACTCCATCTCTTCCAGTATATTTTCATATAGTCCAATGTGATTAACAAAATGTAAGTACTATAAAGGTCTTTCTTTCCACCTGGGGAAAAATCAACACTTTTCTTTTACCTTCTCACTTTTCTACACATATATCTTCCTGCTCCCATGGCATCTTCCAGATGCCAAGTCCTCTCAGGGACTCCTCTCTCTCTTTTGTGAAGAGCAATGTGAAAGATGCCCCCAGCCCAGGAGACAGGATGATTGTTGTGGCCTATCTCATTCAAATAGTGAGCTCCTCCTCCCTCTCCATTCACAGAAGTTTTAGAGGCTTTCCAGGCAGGGCCTAGGTTTCCATTGGACTTTCATGTTTTTATAGGAGTTTGAGCATGTATCACTGTACACATCCTCAGGGAAACAGGCAGATTTCTAGAAGCATTCTCTCTAATCCTTTGGTTGGCAAGACAATAACTTTAGTTCTGTCCAGTTTCTTATGGATTGCTCTTATGACCACATTCAAAGGGACTACAATAAATCTGGGGAAAAGTGTTAGTATAGACAAATGTACATCATGATCATTCTGTGATGAGTCAGGTATAATACACATATTCCAGAGGATGRGATGAGATTATGATTTWTATATATACACACACACATATGCAGAGATCTTGATTACTTATCATTAATATTTTATTTTCTAGTCCATCCATAAAAACCAAACCATTCAGAGAGTGTACATTAGGATCCTCATATATCATTTATCAATTTAAAGTTATACTTTGCTACACCATAATTTTTTCATGGCATTTTTCACTTCTGCATTCCTTAGGGTATAGATCAATGGATTCARTAAAGGTGTCCCAATTGTATAAAACACAGCCACCATCTTGTCTATTGGAAAGGTGGTTGGAGGACGAGTGTATATAAATATACATGGACCAAAAAATATGACCACAACAATAAAGTGGGAGGTGCATGTGGAAAGAGCTTTCCRCCTTCCTTCTGCACTGTGGTTTCTCAGAGAGTACAGGATGACAACATAGGAGATAAGTAAGATTGYGAAACTCACCATGCATATGACCCCACTGTTAGAAACAACTAGCAAATTTATCACATAAGTGTCCATGCAGGCAAGTTCCAACAAGGGCTGCAAATCACAGAAATAGTGATCAATCACATTAGGGCCACAGAAGGGCAATCTCAAAGCCAGGAAAATCTGTGCTGAGGAATGAATGCAAGATCCCACCCAGGCCAGAATCACCAACACACCACAGACACGCTGGCTCATGATGGTTGTGTATCGCAGAGGCTTACAAATGGCCACATAGCGATCAAAGGCCATGAGGATGAGCACAAATATCTCCATGCAGCCAAAGAAATGGGCTGCAAAAACTTGAGTCATGCACTCGTTGTAGGAAATGGTCTTTTTCTGAGAAAGGGCATCTACAATCAGTCTGGGAGCTGTGGTTGTAGAGAAGCAAGCATCTGCAAATGACAGGTAGAAGAGGAAAAAATACAYGGGACTCCTAAGGGTCTGGCTTGTTTTAATGGTCACCACAATGAGAAAGTTCCCCAGCAGAGTCATGAGGTAAAGAATCAAGAAGATCCCAAATATTGCCTTCTGCTTTCCAGGGTCTTGTGTCAGGCCAAACAGAATGAATTCAGTCACGCTGCCGTTATGCATCACCCTGTCAGTGGCTGTGGGCAGCATGCAGTTGAAAAATGTTTAACCTGCATAGAGAAGAAAATAACTTACATCTTTAAAAGATCAGTGTGCTGATCTAGGAACTCTTCAGTTCCAGCATGCGCTGTTACCTCCATTTCATTTGTGGTGAGACAAAATCCCTTGGCATCATTTAAGATTGTGATGCCCTTGACTCTTCTAGATTTCTCTGTTGACTCAGAAACTCACTGGGCTGAATCAAGTTTTTTTGCATTTGGGAAATAAAAGATACATGTCCTTCAATTATGTTTATTCTTACCTAGATAGATAACTGTAGAATTTATTCTTTCCTTGGATGTGTGGTTGTTTTGAAACTTAGCCTTCCTATATCAAAAATGGAATTCTAATACTCGTTGTAACTTATTCTGAACTTTCAGAATTAAAATAGGTTTTATAACTACACACCTAAACACATTTACACAGATCTTTAATGTATCGTCATTTTATCTATGAATTTTTGAATCTTAAAACACTATTACATATGAACTATTATTAATACTGGAGAATTCTACCCAATAAATTTCTTCTCAGTTAATTTCACTCATTTTAGTTTCTATATTATGTTCTACCCCTTTAATATCTTGGATTAAATAAGTTCTCCAAAAATCTATTTTCACTACCTCTCAGTAATGCACTTTGGTTTAAGAAATCAGTTCACTGATCTTCATAATTTTATGAATAATAAAATTATATAATCTTAGATAATAACTCAAAGGGGCATAGTAGAAAGAAACTTTCTTGATTGTACACTTAAAAATTATTTCATTAGAATTTTGAGTTTTTTCTGCCTATAATTTCGACCTAGTATAAGTTTTCTCATATGTCTATAATCTTGGAAATGCTTTATAAAAATCATATATGCCCCTTTTACATGTACATACTTAATTCCCTAGGATATTATTTTTTAAAAAAACATTAGTTTTAAAACTTGCCCATAATTTCAACATGAAATTTTACATTTTTACTATTCCAAGTGCTTGTTAATTACATGATTATGTGGCTCATTAATTATATGATTAAAATAATCATATGATGTCACTTTATATTATGATTTTGATTCAGAAACATAATCACTATTCCTGTGGTTTTATACTTAAGATAGCTTAATTATCCATTTTACAGTGTGATAATGTCTAAATTTTTGAACAATATTACTTTGACTTTGTTGGAAGAGTAATGATGATATATTTCCAAGTGCAATATTATTGCACAAATGCTAGTGAAAAGCATTGTTATTACTACTTATAATAAACTCTGATTTCAAAATTTTGTGTTACTCTACTCACTATACATTTATTATAGAATAAACCATATTATGATGAAATATTCAAAGGAAACAGAGGGATTTGAGAAAAAAATTAAAATCTTGCTGGGAATGATGGTTAAAACTTGTAATTCCAGTGAGTCATGAGACTGAGGAGGGTTTCCAAGTTCAATGTCAGCCTGGGCAGCTTAGGGAGACACTCTCAAATAAAAACTAAAATGGCTGGAATGTAGCTCAATAATAGAGCATCATTGGCTTAACACATAGTACTGAAGTAAAACATTTTCATTCCAAATCATATAAATGTACAACTCCACTGCCCATAAATAAGTGTTTTTACTTTTTAAAATATCTACTTACAGAGACATTCACAAGTTTATTTGCATATGTGTGTCTCTGTATGATTATTTTATGCATAAATATGGACTATGTTTCAGTATTGATTATTTTTCAGAACACTTGAGAAGCATGCCAAAATTTATTATTTTGTGACATTGTTAACTCAATAGCTTAACACAAATAAAATTTTTCATATTTYATTATAGTCATATAATCTTCATCAATAAAATTTACATTTGGCACATGTATTTCATGATAGTATTTCCCTTATGGTCATCTTAAATTTCTTTGTCAGATTATTATTAGATATTTTCATATTATACATGAATGTATATTAATGTAACAAATAACAATTATCAATTAAGAATTATAATTTTGATTTTGTTCTATATTCTCTTATTTCTATTTTTCTGTGATGTTTCCCATTTTATATATTCTACCAGTTTTCCCACTATAACATAGTTCTTTGTTTCAAAATATTATAAAATTTGTATTTATTTTCCATTCATCTATAAAAGTTTTTTGCTTAAAACCCTGGATCAAAATTATCTATAATTGCTATGAGGAATGGGAAAAATGTTCACCTGTTCTTTTCAATTTCTATGAATTCTAAAATAAATGTATATACACTCATCAATCCTTTAAGCCACTCTGTGGTTGATATTAGAAAAGTAGGTGTCATCTGTAGCTAGGAATGACAGCTCCTAATATTTTTAATATGTACAAAAAGCAAATGAATTGAAAGTTCAAAGTAACTTGAATACAGGAAACCCATGATAAAACATCTAAACAGTCCTTTTATTGTGGAAAAAATGTGAAATTCAGAGAGATGGAAAACAGGGGAGTGTGGGAATTTGGGATGAGAGAAAAGAARGAAGTTTTAATGGAAATGAGTAGGAAAAAAATATTAAACTAATAGATCGACACAAAATCTCTAGTAATCTGGACTCCAAAGACACAGTAGAAAGCCATTTGTCTTTCTAGGTACAGTTCATGAAAGCCAGGTTATGAAATTTGGATACTTTGTCCTTGGTAACCTATAAAATCTGAGGGCATTACACATGAGATCAGCTTTTATTATGATTTATTCATCAAATAAGAACAAAAATTTCTCAGTTGTTTAATGGATTTAACAGTTTTTGGATGGGGAATTTGAAGAACTTATATGTAACAAGAACCTATCTCTTAAAAAATTTCAGAGTCCACATTAAGACATCTGTCTTAGAAACTTGGTGGAACACAAAGAAGTGAATTCACTGTGGCATGAATAAAATAAACTGTCGTGCAGCCTGCAAACATCCCAAATATGATCCATTATAACTTCAGATTACTACTTCCTTTCTTAAGAGAAGAATGTGTTCATTCTCAACTATTCTCTGTGAGGGATTATCAGCTTTTATTTATTGGTTCTTTTTAGTTACTTAAGCAGTAGAATCCATTGTGACATAACTGTACAAGCGTATAATATATCTTSTTTAATTCAGACCCCAGTACCTTCCCCTTCCCTCTCTCTACCTCTGCTCCTTTCCCTCAAATGATCTTTCTGCCATTTATTCATAGTTATTTTTTAAATGATTTCTTGTGGATGTACTCAATTTCATCTGCTTTAACAGGAACGTTTGTGTAGTCCTAAAGCCAGGATATTATCCTCTTGCATAATATTTTGTACTTAAGTTCTAAAGTGATTTTGCTCCATACATATATGAGATTTTATTGTGAGAATTATTAACACATATGCAATGGAAATTCATGCTGAGTTTCACAAATGTCCATGTTATAACTTTCCCCATTGCTAACATCCTTCAGGATCCTTACAGGCCCTAACTGGGAATTCTATTCTATGGTCTAAATAAAAAGGACTCCAATTCAAATATTTTATCTTCTCACTTTTGACATTCTCTCCTTCTTTTTTCCTCTTTCTTATCCTTTAAATGAGAAAGTGGGCACTTTAAAAATATAATCATTCACATATACAATAAAATGATTGCTATGGTTTTTCAAACACAACGGTTAAGGTACTTGCTGTGACTTTCAAACCCCCATCCCCTATACCACTGTCACACTTGTCCCTTACCTTCCCAATGCTTCTTATCCATGTTCTAGCCATGTCTGAAAATGTCTTTCCTCATAAATATACCCACAGTCTCATCTCCCGAATCTTCCATACCTCAGTATCTGATGACCTTTACTCTCCCTTAATCTCCACCTTCCATTTCTCTTTGGATAGAGCACACAATTAAAATATTTACCTCCTCAGCAAAACCCTCCCAGAGTTCTCCAGTCACATAAGTTTCTCATTGATAGTCTTCCACTGTTAAAATGCATGTGTATTGAATCATGTAATTTCCAGAATATCCTTCTCTCACTTTTCCTTTGACATTTGGCATTCATTTGATTTTACTATGCCTTGTAAGGCAGTCTTGTGCTGTTTCAATTTGGATACTTTAAAATAACCTGGGAGATGGAGTTTAGCAGAGAGCAATTAGAGAAGACCCAGGATCAGAACTCAAGCCTTTCTGTTGCATGGAAATCTCTTAACACTCCATCCCTACTGCCATGAGAAGTATCACATCCCATCCATGCTGGTGGAGACAGCACAGAATCAATTAGCTATTAACATGTAGCAAATAAAACCATGTAAATTTTCAGGACATATCTTGGTTATTAAAGGAATGCAATCTTTAGGATGGGTCAAAGAGGCCAGCATTTTATACATGTATCTGAAAAATATTAGTGAAAGAAAGTAGAAAGTTTAGAGAATAGTAGGAGGAATCAAAGCCAAAAATACAAAAAAATAAATGTTATTATGAACAAGAGTCTGAAAGGGCAGAATTGGGAGATAAGAGAGAGACATTCCCACATGCAAAGTAAGCAAAGAACCACAGATAAAGAGTGCATTCTTCTGAGATTTCACCGAYGAGTTTTGCTGCTCTCTCCTCCACTTCTTCTGTTATGCCTTACACCACAAAAAGACATAGTAAGCAAGGCTGACAAGAGATCCTAGAAAGCCCACACTAGTGTCATCAATATCAAGATACTCAGTATCATCAGCATCAGTGCATATAATCAGTGTGCATCCCTATTTTTTTCCTGACTTCAGACTTTGCAAATGAGAGATCTGCAGATATTAGGCACTACACCTTTCCCCCTTCATCCTCTATTGGCATTGAGCCTAAGAAACTGCTGGGTCAACCATAGGCCACTGAAAGCTGAAGAACCTGAAACACTGAAAACTTTTCATCATCAAGTGGTAAAATGCATATTTATGGAATTTTAGATTTCTCAGGAGATGGAATCAGATGAGAGTGACTTGGTCCTGAATGGGAAGAAAAGGAAAGAAAATAACTCAGCTGGGTTT